CAGACCACCGTTATGGCTTTATTTATGGCCGAGCTGAATTACTGGTCACAGTTAATAAATAATGTAAGTTGTGGTTAATAATTGAATGACATTTTAAACAACTAGTTTACCAGACAGCTCTTACCAGTCACAGGAAATAAAGGTTTTTAAAAAGTCGTCAAAAAAGTTGCCATTGGAACCGCTCGCCTGAAGACGTTGACTTGCATAGTTCAGGCATTCAATTCCACTTTTCTGTTAAATGTTTTTTGTGATATTTGTATCTGGCAGTCACCACACCAGCGGTTCGAATAGCTAGTAAGATCAATTTTGAAAAATTGTACTAATGACGTTATGCTATGTTTTCTCGACTTAATATAATGGCTTTAGCGGAAGAAATTAACTGTAAGTGTAGTAATTATCCAAATTACCGTGTTCTTTTGATGTTCTAGACAGAAATATTGTATTAAGTTTGTATACTTGTATTTCTTTATACTGCCCTCAAAAACAGTTTCTCTGCTTTTTCAAATCTTCGGCAGCTTCTGATTGTAAAGAAGATTTTGTTTGGATCCTCGAAATAGTCTCTCATGCTTTGCACCTGCAACTCATTACATTTCGTTAATACAATACTGATTTTGGTAACATTTCAGAATATTGAAGTCGATCGTACTGCATATACGTATTGTTTCCTACTTTATTTGCAGTTAATACAAATTGCTGGAATTGTATATTGATTATAATTATTTTGCCTTATTTGGTCGTAAGATCACTCTAAGTACATAATTTTTTACACGAAGTTTGTATGATTTATTCATTAGTGATACAACGTTGAGAATAATTCAATGATTTACAAAATAGCCCGTTATTTTGTTCAGAACTTACATAGACTTGAGATTACTTAATCTTTATGTTATTGGTGTTTGACCAATGTTCTTTAATATTTTTGAAATAAAAGCTCTAGATTGTTTTCGTAAGGTTTCATCAATTCTGTAGTGAACTTTTATTGTACCTATTTGCAAGCAGAAAGTTAAAGCACTCAGCTGCAGAGGGAAACCCCGTCTGTGCTGTATGATAAAACCTAGAATCCATTCCTTGTTTTCTGTTTTGTTCCATTCAATGTTCATTCAAGAGAGTCAAACTGTTTTTCATGCGGACGAGCGGAGCGAAGGAAGGTGAAACTGGGAAAAAATATTCTAGTATCAAGGATTGCATCCTGCAACACACAATGTAACCCGTGTTTCCTTAACTGACATTAAAAAAATCTGATGGACCTATCCCCCCCCCTTGGGAAATTTTGTAGGTCCGCCCGTGATGCATGTACCACCTAAAGGGGGATTTGGTCTTAAATATGGACTACTAGTGCACGCAGTGGGGTGAAAACAGCACCTTGCTTTTCACAATACCAATATGGGAATTAGAGTGGAAAAAATCGGAATCGTATAATAATTCATTAAAGTGAATTGAAAACCAAAAGCCGTAAATATACACAAAGTCGCCGAGTTCCAGGTACCGAGTTTTGGAACTCCCGCTCTCTGGGAGAGCACTATGGGCCCGCAGGCGAGTTATCTGTTAGGAAATGCCACCCACCCACTATCGTGACCTTGCATGAGACCAGTATTGACGTCCTAGTTAAGGGACGCGCGGGGTACATTGTCATGTGCTTGCAGGATGCAATCCTTGATACTAAAATATTTTTCCCTGTTTCACCCTCCTTCGCTTCACTCATCCGCATGAAAAACAGTTTGACTCTCTTGAATGAACACTGAATGGAACAAAACAGAAAACAAGGAATGGATTCTAGGTTTTATCATACAGCATAGAGGGCGTTTCACAATGTGGCTGAGTGCTTTAACTTTCTGCTTTGTTACGAAGTCACCGCATGTCTCGGCAAACAACGCAATCAGACAAAGATGAAACATTTGGGAAAAGAACACACCGATAAAAGATGATCGGAATCAGTGGATTTTCTTTGGAAACAGAATTAGGATTATTTTAATTATTTGCAAATCACAAATTACTACGAATGGACTAAATAAATGGAACAGGTGTGACCACAGCGATTCATTATACAGTATACATAACATACATTTCAAATCATACATTTGGCCATTGGAAAAGAAAGAGAGGTACCTCCGGGTGGGAATCTGGACCGAAGTTGACCATCCGTTCGGGAGTCGCGAAACTGGAACGCCAGAGAGTTCGGAAACGTCTGGCACCATCAGCTGAGAGTTGCACCTCAGTGCCGGCCCGGAACAAGGACAGCGGTAAGCGTGGTCATCGGCGATGGCAAGGGACCCTGCGCCGGGCAGACAGCCACGGGCAAGGCACGGGCTGGTCCGCAGCGTCTACAGGCTTAACGGTTGGGCGGCATGGGTTCTACCGCACCCCAGAAAACCAGAGTTCAGAATCCAACCAACAACGAAATTCCAACGGTTTTAAATCCGGCAGCAAATTCCAGAGCGCATTCTCCAGTACCCAGGAATGGGGTTAAGCTTCGGCGTGAATTCCATTGCAAAATCAAAAGTTCGTTGGACCAAAAATACTAGAGGTCAACATAACTTGTAAACATGTATATTCATTAACAAATTCTTAACAGCTTGCAAATAGGTACAATAACAGTTCAGTACAGAATTGATGAAAACCTTACAAAAACAGTTTGGAGCTTTCATTTCAAAAATATGAAAGAACATTGGTCAAACAACAATTACATTAAGATTAAGTAATCCCAAGTGTGTGTATGCTAAGTTCTGAACTTGAGCTATTTTGAATACCCATTGAAACATTATCAACGTTGAATCAATGACGAGTAAATTATACAATCTTCTTTAAAGATTATGTACTTAGAGTGATCTTACGACCAAATAAGGCAAAATAATTATAATCAATATACAATTCGGGCAATTTGTATTAACTAAAACTAAAGTAGGAAACAATACGTATTAAACAGTATGATTGACTTCAATATTCTGAAATGTTACCAAAATCAGTACTGTATTAACAAAATGCATTGAGTTGCAAAGGATAAGACACCATTTCGATGATCCACACAAATTTTTTATAAAAATCAGAGCTGCCCAAGATTTAAAAAACGGGGAAATTGTTTATGAGGGCAGTATAAGAAG